AAAAAATACTGTGTCTTCCTGGAGAATGAATCTATAAGCAGAAGAATTCATAGAAAAGACGAATGGAAACTCCATGTAAAGTTTAAGCAAAGGTCAAGTACAGCAAACTCCTTTAGAGCAGAGTGGAGCTCCTGGGCTGAATGAGAAGTGGCAGCAGCAGGTATCTAGCAGTGTCTAATGCAATTCCCTCTTGTCCAAGGAGAAGCTGATTAGGTACTTTTTTTGTCTTTTTTTTTCTTTCTTCTAAATCATCTAAAAAATTACCTTTAAAGTGTTCTTACTCTTAAAGCAAAGCTCAGATTGGCACTGAGGATCCCATTGTGCTGCTTTCCAATCCTTTCACCCCTGGATTTCCTTGCTGATGTGCAAGATAAGGTGTTTTTGCCTCATGTGGCCACTCTCCCTCGTGCCTTGGCAGCAGAGCAGGTTCACCAGGAGCCTCAGGTGTGACAGGCACATTCTTCTCTCTCAAGATTTTTTCGTAGAGGAGCACAGAGAGAAGAAAGAGAAAACAATTTCTATTTCTGCTCCTTGTTTTTCCCATGTGGAATTATATTCAGAGAATTGTTTACCTAGGGTGATTGTTTGATTTGATTCTGGTGAGGATTGTTTGAGCCTGACGGCCAATCCAATGCACCTGGGGCTGGACTCTCAGAGAGGGTCATGAGTTGTTTGGGAGTTAGATATGGCAGTTAGAAAAGTAGGTAGTTTTAGTATCTCCTTTAAATAGTATATTAATGTGTTATAGTATAGTTATAATAAAGAAATCATTCAGCCTTCTAAACTGGAGTCAGACATCATTTCTTCTCACCAGGTTCACCTGCATTTCCAATTCTCAGTGGTGTCAGGAATGCCATCCTGCCATAGCCAGGCTGGAGGTGCCCTCCATCAGCTGCACAGGGGCTGTGATGCTTTGCACAGAACCTGTACTGTAGTCACTATTTCTTTGATAACCAACCCCACTCATCCCATTTCCGTGGGCTGGCAGGTACCCACGTGGATCACGCTGTGCTTTACACCCATGCATCAGCTCAGCTGGAAGCAGCCGCGGTGAATCTGGTCCCTGCAGTCCTCAGGCACCTCTGAAATTAATGGGGAAGCGTTGAAGTGGGCTGATAGTGCTACTCCCTTAGCCTTGTGGCTGTGCTCCTCTCTTTAGTGTTCCCTCTAAAGCTGAGCCTTCACAGGCGTGCAGCCCCCTCGGGTGCTGGGATCCAGCTGTTTCCCCATCCCGCACATCTGCCCAGCTGGGTGCGGCCCCTCCTGCAGCTGCAGGAAGGAGCTGGAGCAGGGGGTGCTGGTCTCCTCAAAAAGCAAAGTGTTCCCCTCGTGGCCTGGGTCACACTCGCAAGGAGGAGGCTAATTAAATCGGGTAATTAGTGAGTGTGTTAATGAGCTGGGGCAGGGTAATTTTGCTTGGGCTGTTACAGTGTCAGGGGCTTTGGGAAGGTTTTTCTTGCCTGGCGTCCCCTTGCAGCAATTTTTCAGTGGCCTGGCAGATTCTTTTAAAAGCAAAGTCCAACTCCTGTTGCCTAAAAAACACTGTCATTTGATTTACTCAGTCCTTTTTTTTTGTGGCTTAATGTGTCAAACGTCAGCCTATTCTGAATTAAGGCACAGCTCTTGCACTGACTATACTTAAGATAAGGGCTGGTGTATATTTATGATCCCCCTGGTAGAGTGGGGAGCCTGAAGAGTGAGAAGAGCCAGTAGTTCTGTTCTGTCAATTTGCTTTGAATTTCACATTCATATCTGTGTGTTGGGAGAAAATCACATATTAAACACTGTTGCTTGATACAAGTTTGGCAATTGGATTAGAGATGCTCCCTTACTTTTGATCTCCTTCTTGCAGACATACCGCAGTGCTGGGGGAGTTGACTGTCCTTGCTCCTGCCAGAGCAAGCAATACCTGGAGAGCTGAATCATCAGACTTGCTTCTCCTCAAGGTCTGAGCTTGTATCAGTCCCTTCTCTGACTGCACTATAGTGGCATTTTTCTTTTCTTTTTGGAGCCTGCTTTAGATTGGCAATGGTTAGGAAGAGACTGGTAAACTTTGTTTGTGTGTTCCTGAGCCTGCAGTGTGGACTCAAAAAGAGGGAAGGATTGAAGCAGGATTTCTGAGCTGTTGTCCTAGGACTGCTTGTGGCCCAGCAGACTTTGGCAGATGGTTTGTGAAATCCTTCCCTCCCCCAAAAAGCATACACGATGCCGCCCCTGCAAATGAACAGGCAATCTGTTACTTCTACTTTCGCTCACTTTATTTGAAAGTTCAAATCTCAGCCAGTTTTTGTTTGACTAAAGGGTGACAACTATTTCACTGTGACTTCACAAGATGGGCTCCAGGGTTGGGCTTTTTTCCTGAAAAGGTTAATTAGTGCTGGAATAAATGAGTAAAAACTTGGTGGACCATTTGAGCAGTGCATTCTTCTATCTGTAAAGTTTTCATCTGCTGTCCCATGTCACAGCTAACACAATCCTGTTGGTGGTTTCATCCCACACAGGAGGGATGGCTGGACTTGGTGATCAGTGATTTGACTTGATGATCAGCCGCTGAACTCGATGATTGTAGAGGTCTTTTCCAGGCTCATTCATTAGATGAATCTTGGAACCTTGGTACCCAGATGCCGTGTGGGGCTGTGAGGATGCAGCTGAGCCACAGCTCCTGAGCAGGACTTGGGAGCAGAGAGGCTGAGCTCCCTCCAGTGCTGGGTGGGAGGTGAAGCATCCCCACTTTGCCGGGTCCCTTTGTTGTCTGAAGCAGCTCTCGGGTGCTGCCATTGTTGACACTGTCACTCTGACCCTCCCATTCAATGCCTCTCTGCATCCTTGTGAGAAAGCCTTGATCCTGGACTTGCTCTTCTCTCAGGGTTTGATAGGTTTTGCCATCTGAAAACTGGGCTTTGGAAAGGGATTGGGGGGATTTTCACAGAGCTAGGGAGAATCAAAGGAGTCATCACAAGCAGCAGCTTAAAATATCCGACCTCTTCCCACTTCTCTCCTCCACTTTTTGTGTCCATTGAGGGTGTGGGTGCAGTGATGCTGCTTTGTGGCAGTTTCCTCTAGACCCACTGTCCTTGAGCTTTTGTGTATCTTGTGTTTCCCTGGGGGAGGTTTCATGGCAGGTCTCATCTCTGACTTGGGCAGAGGAGAAGCCCACAGAGACCCCCTGAGCATCCTGACACTGTCCTGGTCTGTCCTTTGCAGGGACAGTGGCACCAGCCAGTATAGAGAGGGCGTGGGACATCCAGACCCATTCCACAGTGGGGGGGGGGGGGGGGTGTCTCAGATCCTAATTGCTCTTCTCCAGACCTCCTGCTGTCCTGTGATTTCCTCCTGTTCCTGTCTGCTTGCATCAGGGGACTACCTGTAAACGTTATGAGAGGAATGAGTGCTAACAGAAAGCCCAAAAGGCAAAGAAATTAGTCCAAAATATGATCCATTTTCTGAATCCTTTCCTCCCTCTCTTTTTGCAGCCTGCCAAGTGATTTAGAGAGGGCAGTAGGGCTGATACATTCTTATGCAAAACTTGGTTTTGGCAAGGCAGAGAGGAGGCTCAGCCAAGGGAGGACAGAAGAGGAAAAACCAGGTAAGATGCTGCAGAAACTGCTTCCCTGGCAGCTGCAGGAAACTGCAGGTGCAGAAGGACTGGTGGCAGCATCTCTTCCCACCCTGATGTGAACAGAAACTGCAGTGCCCAGCTCCCAGGAGGTTTCTGTTTTACTCTTTGTTGTACGGCAGCCTGAGCAAACAAACTGTGCTGCTCTTGATAATGAAAGAGGTGACATTACTAATTTATTTGCCCACCCAAATGTAGGATGTAATAGAACAGAATTAATCTCTTCTCTTTACACATCAGATGCTTGTAGCTTTGGGTGGCAGGTATGCTTTTAACCTCTGGTGTGCAGCTTACTGGGATTGCCTGATTTGATGTGTGTAGAGATAAATGAGGTGCTGCAAGGAATGGGCATTTTTTTATGGGTGTGAGGTTGGTCCTAAGCCTGAATGTGGGTGGTGGGATGAGGCTCAGAGAAAGTGAGGATGGTGTTAACTGTGGTGCCTTTGTGCTCCCAGCAATCAGTCAAGCTCCTTTCACAAGCCAGCATGGATGAGTCCTGCAGGAGCAGCACAGTGTGGATCAAAAGGAGACTTTGACAGTGGCAGTGGTGCCATAGGGAGCAGATGTGCCTTGGTAGTGTCCCAGAGAAGGAAATGGTGACAAACCCACCCACAGCAGGGACTGCAGCAGTGGCCACTGCTGGATGAGTCTCAGGACAGTGGCCATGCGAGGGAGCTTGGATGAGGCGCTTTGGATTCCTTCCCTTGCTGCTGCAGGCAGTTCCCAAATCATCTGTATGCTAATGAGCTAATTTGTGCCATTAGCAGACCCCTGTTAATCAGGGCCTCCCACAATATGACTAGGCTGTGGCCCCAGTGCTTGCTGTATTTTAGGACCTGGGTTTTTTAATTAGTAGTGATGTGTATGATGCTCATCCCTGGGCATCTGCAGTGCAGTCTGTGCAGATGCTGAGCTACCTCAAGATACAGAACCAGGGTCTTAGGATTTTCCTTCAGAGGTGAGGTGTTTCCTAAAAGTCTGACTAGAGAGCTAGAGTGCAGAATCTTGAGATGCTGTGGTGTTCAGGAAGGAAGGAGCAGGGAGCATCTCAAGCCCCCTTCTGCCAGTCTAAATCTAAGGAAGATTTGACATAGGAAGATTTGCCTGTCACACCTGCAGCTCAGGGGTTTTGATAGCCACAGTGGCCCTTCAATGCCCTGACATTTTGCCTGAAGCTTCCTGCATTCCTTCCCAGGGGGTGGGTATTCATACAGAAGCCAGGTTGTAACCTTAGGACAGAGTTTTGCCTTCAGGTGCTTGCTGAGCTATGAGCAAGGTGGGGATGACAGGACGATAGTAGCTCATGTGCAGGTGCCAGTGTGGATCTCAGCTGTTTGCCTGCAGTCCCAGCACTTCCTCACACTGCTGTGTTTGTGTTTTCCAGATCAGCCGCTTATGTGGCCACGCTCAGCAGAGGCAGATTCGATCAGCTAATTATCCAGAAGACCTTTTCATTGACAAGAAAGTCCTGAAAGTGACGCACGTTGAGCAAGAAGAAACTTTGTCAAGCAGGAGGAGGTGAGAATGCTCAGGCTGAGTGTGGTGCCTGCTGGATGGGCTGCAGGAGCAGCCACCATATGGAATGGCCCTGTGGAAGCAGATGGAAAAGCTCCTTATTTCCCTTACCCATAAATCTGGCTCTGAGCATCAGAGCTGCTCTGTGGTGGGCTCTGAAGTGCAATGAGGCGTCCACATGGGTTTTCTCACCTAGTGCACCCAGGTTAATATGCCAAATGCCTTGTCTGGGTTTCTTGGGCACTGCTGTAGTATCTGAAATACTCACAGGTGTAGTAATAGATAGAAATGGTCACTCCAGATTGAACTGTTACGTGTTATGCCGTGTGTAGGTAAGGAGAATGTCTTTCATGTTTTTTGTGTAGTATTTTATGGTAGTTCAGAGATGTTAACAGCCTTTTACTGAATATTTTCAAAGGAAGCAGATGCCTCCACTGCTGGCACCGCATCCTGTGCTTCCTTCCCCATGTAAGTAGAAGCTGTAATTAAGTGGGCTCACTCTGATGTGTCAGGGAGCAGCATCTCCCCTCTGAATCTGAAAACACACCCAGGTATACGCAGTGCCTTTTCTTCTGTATTGAAAAAAAGAAAAATCCCTGTGGAAGAGAAACAAGCAAGCTTGGCAATTTTTGAAATTGGTGCTAGACTGAGTTGGGTGGATTTCTCTCTGAAGACTAACAGGGCCACATTCTTGATATGGTTCCCATGAGATACAGCACCAGGGCTTGCATTCCTCTGTTGTCTCAACACGTCGGAGGTTACACAGCCCAGACTCTGACAGAGATGTCCTTTGAAGACTCTGAAGGCTAATGAAATCTGCTGAGATGAATTACATGGGTTCATACCTGCAGATACGGAGGAGTTCCTCCCTTCCCTGCAGGGAACTCTGCTCCCCAGGAAAGTTTCCTTCTGCCTGTTCTCCCCAGCTCTGCTGGGACTTGTGGAAGAGGAGCAAGGCAGTGCCTAGAATATGAGGAGCTGAGTGCCATGGGCAGTGAGGCTTCTGCTTTATGGGGTTTGCTGTAACTGATGATCCAGGTCTCACCTCATTTTAACTTTCCAAGTGGTGTTGGTTGTACCTCCGCCCCACTGTTACTGCGGGAGATGGATGTAGGAGGTGGTTCACGCAGGAGGTGGCTGCCTGAAGCATCCCTTGGATTGATGCAGGGGCTGTAGGCTGAATTCCCACCCTTTGGAGGGGCTTTGACCCATCAGACAAACCCTTGTACATTTGCAGGGGCGGTGGCAGTCGGGCCGGTGTGTGCGATGCCCGGGCGGGATGCGCTGGTGGGCACAGGCAGGGACCCCCCTGCTCCCCGGGCTGTCCCTGCGGGCTGTGCTGGCCCCAGCCGGGCAGGAACAGCGGAAAGGCAGCGAAAAGGCAGCGCAGAGCACAGCCTGCCTTCTCTTTGTGTCGCCTGCCCCCAGCTGGCTGTCGCGGGTCTGGCTGGAGAGGGAACCCCACGGGATCCCAAAGCAAGGAGGATGGAGGGATGGACACCCCCTGCACCCCAAACTGCCTCAGGCTGCAGGGCAGCTCCCCACAGCTGGCAGGGCACGGATAGACCCTGGTACAGCACCCGGGGGATGCCCCAAGAGTGCTCCCTGCTCCAGCTGCTAATTCCTCATCAGGCGTCCCAGGGAGCAAGGAGGCTGAGCAATACCCCCTTGCCAAAGGGGGAAATGTGCTGAAACCAAGCAAGACGACTGTGAGGACAAGTCTTACTGCCTCCAGTCCCTGATATTCCTGTTGTCATACTTTTTGTGCTATTTATTTAATTAAATCTGCTATTATTCTCTGGTGACAGCTGCTCAGTGTCTCTGAGGGATCAGACCTAGGCTGGGGGGATGTCCCACCCCACTCCAGAGCCTCTGTCACCTCTCTGGAAACATCAGAGATCCCATGGTCAGCCTGTATTCTGGCCCTCTGGACCACTGCTGCAGGTGGCCAGCTGGAGATCCTTGTTGCTGGGAAGGGAAGGCACAGGGTTGGGGTGCAGCCTGATTCACTTCTCCTCTGTGTGCTGCAAGCTCTGCTCCTGCAGCTCCTCCTGCCTTCCTGCAACACAGCCATTTTGATGAGTGTAACCTGCCCCTTTGAATGCAGACTGTGACCCCATGGCCAAGCCAGTGCATCCCTTGAAATCGTGTCCTTTTGATGGTGCAGCATGAAACTCAGCCTTAGCCATGTGTACAGATCTGTGCTGAGAATGTCAGCTCTGGCCCACCACCAAAAATGCCACCTGCCCTTTTAGCAATGCTGGATGGCCAATGTCAGCCAGAATAAGCCGCTGAAGGGCCTCTGCTGCCTTCTGCAAAACAGAGGGGACGCTAAAGCCTGGGCCCTTGCTGCTCAGCTGTACCCCATGGATGTGTGGCCTGAGCCAGTGGCACCTTTCCTTAGGTGCTGTGAGAGTGCAGAGGCTGTGTCTGACTTTTGCCTGCTGCAAAGTTGGGCTGAGGTTCTGCTGCCTCCACATCCCTCCCCATCATCATCAGTTTTCACCTGGGAAACATGGGTTCAGCCTTTGACTGAATAACATCAAGGTAAAACACAAAAAGCTGCTTTGGTTTGGAAATAAAACTGATGCTTTGTGGTTTGTTTGCACCTAGCTGCTTTAATGTTGTGTTTGTGTGGCTACCTTCACTGGTTAAAATGCACCAACCTTGTCTTCTCTTCTTCTTTTGACTGAGCACCCTTTTGTCTCCCTTTCTTCCAGGGAACTGATTGCAAAGCTGAAGTCTCACAGCAGTTTTTACAGCAGCTTGCCAGAGTACATCTGCAACCACAGCTCTGCTGTTCACAATGACACCCTTTGCTGGAACGGACAGGAAGTCGTGGAGAGGTGAATCACATCTCCCTTGCCCTCCTTCTCCTCCATCCTGCTCAGCTTTTGTTCACCAGGCACAGGAGCAGTCTGACCAGGGCTCACTCCTTAGGGTCCTGTGCAGGGCAGGTGTCCAGCTGTGCTGCAGCTCAGATGGATGTGTGAGGTCTGCATGGACACAAGTGGTTGTGTGCTGCCCTCCACTGAGTTTTCTGCGTAGTGAAAACTCTGCATCCATGATGGGATTTGGTCAGGGTGGGTCAGAGACAAGAGAGCAGCAGCAGTTGGACACAGCTCCCATGGCAGAGTGCACCACACTCCTCTGGAGCAGCAGCAAGGGCATTGTCCTCATGCACTGCATGGGCTGGGGGTGTCTCCAGCCAGGCTTGGTGCCCTGCTGGCAGGACAGCCTGGTTGGATCCCCTGCCCCACCCAGGGAGGGTCAAGGAAGACATCCTTGTTGAATTTCTCCTTGCTGTGGCTCTCAGCTGGAGGAGGTGAGAACCACTGAACTCTGGTGGGGCCACTGCTGTCCTCTGACCACCTTCCCCCTCCGAGTACTGGCCGTCCTCTCTGGATGGAGCCATTCCCACCAAGGTCCAGCCCGTGCTGCGGCTGCTTTGCCCTGCCCCACTCATCATTTCAGAGGATACACTGGTGGTTATTAAGTTAACAGAGGCAGGCACATGCAGGATTCATACCATAAAGAGGAAGGAAGTGTTAATAGAAATTGAGATTTTTCTTGCAAAAAATGCCCCTTGGGAATGTTAAATAATGTGCAAATAGAACTTGGAAATGTTTTTTTGTAATTATACATAAATCTCCTCTAATCACTCTACTTTGCAAAGCATCCTTTGCTGTTAAGTAGTTTGCATTAGGGAATAAATAGAAATAAAATCAGGAAGTGGTGAAATGTTGAGATATTAATTATGACTTCTTGATCAGTAACTTCAAGTGGTAATTAGCCTGTACTTGCAATACTGACCTGAAACACTGAATAGACCAAAATAGCATCAAACTCTATTAAAAAAAATAAAAAGACTCAACATCTAAGATCACATGCTTAGTAAAATGTACACGTTGCCTAAGGAAAAATGTGTCCTCTATTGGTGCTTATTTCTGAAAAATCTTGAGCTTCCATGCCTGAGACAATCAATTGGAAAGAAAAAGATTATTTCAATATTATCTCACCGATTGTTAATTAGAACTTCTAAAGCAGGGCTATAAACACTGCAGCTCTGGAGGGGGGGAGCTGGTGTGAGGTCTTGGCTTAGAACAATTCCCTGAGGTCACAGCCAGGGCCTTGGTCTGGGTCCTGCTGACATCACAGCTGGGTGAAGTGGTGGCAGTGGGAGGGTGTTGAGTCCAGATCCTCCTGCAAATACAAGTTCAGAGCTCTTTGCAGATCCAACATGACTTCAGGTGATAGATGGCCTTCAGCTTTCTGCTGAGCACACCAGGGGACTGTTGTGGGCACAGTGTGGCACATCATGAGGTGCCATGGCATGCAGGGGGGCAAGGCAGGGAGGGGATAAAGTCTGTGTGCATGAAGGGAGTACCAAGATTTCGGCCCCTGGCTGTTGGCTTAAGGAATAAATCCTCTGCTGCACTTGAAGAGCCTGTGCCTTTCCACTCCTCTCCTTGCCCCCTCTGATCTGTTGCACAGATGTCACCACCCCTGCCAGCTCCTATGAAACATTAGTGACAGTTCCCTTACAGATATTAGAGATTTTTGCTGTGAGCAGGGAGACCTCAGCTAAATAAAGCTGAGCTAAGATAATGGTCAAGGGTACTCTTCTCCCAGGACCCACTAGAAGAATGTTTCAAATAGAAGCAAAGATGTAGTTAAAATGTAGTTTAAATGATCTCTACACTGGCTGCTTCATGTGCTTCCACTTTTCAGCTTGGCATCTCTTTCAGAGTGTCTGGGAGGATTCCTGAAAATCAGGAGCATGTAAGGTAACAGTGCTCGAGTGCCCCAAGCTGCCAGTTCCTTTATTTCAGTGTTTTCCCCAAGAGGGAGCCAAGCAGCTGTTCATGGTGTAGCAGCTCTTACCCGAGCTATTCTGAGAATGTGTGTTATGTACTGGAGAAATTCTGTTCTCCTGCTGGACTCGTGTGTGTCTGTTGGTGATCAGACTCCATCTTGCCACTTTTTGCAAGAAATTTGGTGTAGTTTGAATACCTAGTACTAATTTCAGAGTGCTGTCCTGATGCTTGTCCCACATATGTGGTGGCTGCCAGGAAAAAGGATGGAGGAGACGTGGTGGGATGGTTCCTGTGGCTGGAGTGGTGGCATGGAAGGGTACAGGCTCTTTGCAAGGACAAGCAGGGGAGGCAAGGATGGAGTGTCTATGTCAGTGACCAGCAGGAGTGCCTGGAGTTCCACCTGGGGGTGGAGGAGAAGCTGACCAAGAGCTTTGGGGTCAGGATAAAGAGAGGGCAGAGAGGTGATGTTATAGTCTAGCTCTGCTTCAGGCCTCCCAATCTGGAAGACTGGGTGGATGAGACCCTTTATAGACAGACAGGAGCAGACTCACGTTCACAAAGCCTGGCCCTCATGAGTGACTTCAACCCTGCTCTCTGTTGGAGGGACAACACAGCAGGGCACAAGCAATCCCTGGGTTCCTGGATAAACCAGAAAGCTCCTGCTGAATCTGCTGGTCAGATGAAGACCAGGGCAGAGTGGTGGTTGGCTGGATTCTATGCTTCCATGTGTTCCCATGCCTGGTGCTGCGTGGGCAGTGGATAAAGCTGTTTGACCATTGTTGGGTCTGTAAGGTCAGTGTGAGCATCTGTATGAGCATATCCAGGATTTGATTGTGTTCTTGTAGGGACTGTGGCTATTTACCTCCTGCATTTCTAATGTAGTACCTGAGTGTTCATTAGGTTAGAGCCCTACTGATTTCTCAATTTCCAGACCTCCCTGTCATGACAAAATCTGTTAGTTATTCTAAGCCTTTTTCCTATAACATGTTAAATCAAGCCTGGAATAGAAACTTCACAGCCCTTGCCAGTGCACCCAAGGACTTGATAATACCAGCAGTGTGTGTCCTGTTATTTGATGCAAACAGTCTTTTTTGCACTCTGTAGCCCTCCTCCTGTGGTTTTTCTGGCTTGGTATTTACTCTGTCCTGTTGATCCCAGGGCTTTGTTACCCACAGGCAGTGAGAGAATGAAAGTTTCTCTCCTCCCCATGGACTGGATGTGCTCAATGTACTTCCACTGGGTCTCACTTCCCAGTTTGAGCCTTGAACCATCCCCTGTTTCCTCCTTGCCCTTAAGCCCCTCTCAGTTTGGGGCTCCAGTGTAATGCACCAGGCTGGAGTATTTTTTCCTGTTTTTAATCCCTCAGGTTTTTTTAACTGAATTTTACTTTGTGATCATTTGCTTCTTCACGTTGGACGATCTAATGGCAAGAATTCATCCTCCTTCCCAAGGTTTGATCTGTGATCAATGTTTGATTGTCATCCCTATTGTGGGTTTAGGGACATGGTGCCTTGAAATGACTGCTTGCAAACAGTGGTAACCACACAAGAAAGGCTGATTTTTCTGTAGTGCAGAGCAGTGCCTTGTGTCTTTTGCTGTGCTTTTGTGTGGTTGAAGAACATAAGCTGAAGTGGGAAGAAAAAATAAAAGGCAACACATTCCTGCTTTTCACACTTTTCAGAGTGTGTAAAAACACACTGTGCTTTTATGGGATGCCACAAAGGTTTGTAGCAAAAGCCACAAGTGGCACATTTCACCACTTGCTAAGAGCTTGTTGAGGGTCACAGTGCTTGGTGCTTGTGGTGGCTGGAGACCAATCCTGCAGGATCTTCCTCTCTCTGTGCATCCCTCTTTGCAGCTTTCCTGGGCTCAGCTCCAGGCACTTCCCTGAGACAGACATGGTGGGTGTGCAACAGCTTAAACCTGCCTGAGTGAGGGTTTCTGTGATGCCCTTCCTTTCCTCTGTCTTCATGCCCCAGCCTATACCGGACCTCCTGCTGGTGGTATTAGGTGGTGAAATGTTGTCCTGCCTCTCTTATCCTTATCTCCATCCCAAGCAGAAAAAAAACAGAGGTTGATTCTTATCACTGAGACCTGAATGAGTAATTAGCTCATTTAAAACCTTCAGCTTAAGTCAAGTAGGTGTTGAGATATCAAACTCACCTCAGTTTCTATGGGAGCTCAGCGTTGGAATCTGAAGGGTGATTCGAACTTTATATATAGTGTCAGGGTTTTGCAGCATTTAATACTAAAAGCCTATTAAATCTAGATTCTCAGAGTTTAGTAATCTGCTTACATGAGTATATTCTTTTGAAGCTGTTCTGAATAGACTGACAGCAACATCTGCCCACTGCAAAACTTGTAAGCACATTAAGCCTTACTGTTAGATACTGCCATTTCCAAATTTCTCAAGACAAACATGCACATTAATCCAAATAACCAGCATAACTCTTGTTTTCTTTGTACCAATTAAAAATTAATTTAGCACCTTGCCAGATTCTCTTCTTCAAGCTAGAAGTCTCATATTTCCCTGCTGTTGCCAGCGTACTGTGGTTTGTTTTAATCATACAAATCATAAACAATGAAAGCACAATTGGAAACAAGACAGAAAAATGAGATTCTGTAATTGGAACAAAGGAAATTCCATGCCAGCAATAACCCTTTAGTTCATGAAGGGTTTGGTTATTTCTGGCAGTGCTGCAAAATATCTGATCCAATGGAATCCCCAAAGAGGGGGCTGTATAACTTTTCAAGCCCATAAAACACAGCCTTGTAGCAAGTATAAACTATAATGAAAGGATAGTAGGCAAATTCAGTGTATTATTGAGTGGCCGTGATAGTTTCCAGAGTATTTCAGAAAATAAGATAATGAATCTTCCTCTATCCTGGTGCTGGTCTCAGGTTTGGCCATTTTTTCCGTAATCTATTTGTCTTGAACTGAAATAAGAATAGAGGGAGACTTCAGGCTATCAACTCCCATTGTTTTGTAATGAATATTTCAGTTTTTGCTGTTCCTTCTGAAGTCCCAT